TTAAGTTCGGCTTATAGAACGTATGTTCTGTCACTAGCCAGCTAAGTAAATAAGTTATTAATATAACGTTCTCGTATATTCCTGGAATGATTTATATTGAAATTTGTCTGTCAAGGAGAAGTTTTTGTTCCATGGAGAAATTAAAAATTTGAATTTAATAAAAAGCCTGCTGACAGAAAATGTTTAATGTAGGTCTACGTTTTGACGTAGTATCAACCAAGGTGTATTTAATAAGGTGTATGCATCAGATACAACAACAAATATTTTACAAAAACAACATTGTTGTTATAGAAATTAAATTGTCATGCTGACAATAAGTTTTTGACAAAAATAAACAAAAACAATAATTAATTTATTTTTGTCAACAACTATTCTTTGAGGAATAATTAATGAATTTGTGTATTCTTGGGTTATTGGCGGTTTTAGGTGAATGAAAAATAAAGTTTAAGACCTGGTCGCGATTAATTTTAAGTTTCCCACATGCAGCCCATGACTCCTTGCCTTCTTAAAGTAAATTGTATGTCCTTCAATTTCAATCCCCGGCCAAAGATTAAATCATGGAAATTGTGTTAACCGTATAAAATCTTTCTATAGGCGATTTTACCTCCGCCGAGGATTGTGACAAGCACCAAGGGGCCGATTCAGATAGGCTAACGTAATCTCCTCGATTTCATAAGTAGTTGGGATTTATGGACTGATTTCCACACATAACATAAGATATGTGACCAATCGGCGAACGGGGTTATAACTGATTTAAGCATATGTTTCCTTTCCGTCCGCCTCTGTGAATGTATTTTCTTTAATTGTTATTATTAAAAAAATACTACATTTAAAAACCATTTTTGAAATCGAAATGTTATATTGAAAATGTTTTTGACAATTTACTTTACAAACAATAAGGAAAAAAGTTTGAAACCATATGATTGTCACTTACACCTTATTAAATACGCCTTGACGGCAACGTTATGTTGATACCAAGGCGTATTTAATAAGGTGTAAGTGACAATCATATGGTTTCAAACTTTTTTCCTATTTGTTTGTAAAGTAAATTGTCAAAAACATTTTCAATATAACATTTCGATTTCAAAAATGGTTTTTAAATGTAGTATTTTTTTAATAATAACAATTAAAGAAAATACATTCACAGAGGCGGACGGAAAGGAAACATATGCTTAAATCAGTTATAACCCCGTTCGCCGATTGGTCACATATCTTGTGTTATGTGTGGAAATCAGTCCATAAATCCCAACTACTTATGAAATCGAGGAGATTACGTTAGCCTATCTGAATCGGCCCCTTGGTGCTTGTCACAATCCTCGGCGGAGGTAAAATCGCCTATAGAAAGATTTTATACGGTTAACACAATTTCCATGATTTAATCTTTGGCCGGGGATTGAAATTGAAGGACATACAATTTACTTTAAGAAGGCAAGGAGTCATGGGCTGCATGTGGGAAACTTAAAATTAATCGCGACCAGGTCTTAAACTTTATTTTTCATTCACCTAAAACCGCCAATAACCCAAGAATACACAAATTCATTAATTATTCCTCAAAGAATAGTTGTTGACAAAAATAAATTAATTATTGTTTTTGTTTATTTTTGTCAAAAACTTATTGTCAGCATGACAATTTAATTTCTATAACAACAATGTTGTTTTTGTAAAATATTTGTTGTTGTATCTGATGCATACACCTTATTAAATACACCTTGGTTGCCGTCATAATTTAGGTATTTTTTAACAGTCTGTTTTTGTAAAATTCCAAACGAACGAATTCGAGTGACTTACGACCAAACCTTTATTTTAAATGTTTTCTGATTCAAAATAAAAATAAATGACATATTTTTCAAAACCAAGGAGTTTGGTCGTAAGTCACTCGAATTCGTTCGTGTGGAATTTTCCATAAACAGGCTGTAAGGCTCTAGATTTATTCTCCAACTGAAGTGGCTGTAAATTGTTATTTTAAGTTCTCAGAGGATAACAGATATATTTTAAATGTGGTCTAATAATTATACCAATGTTTTGATACAATCGAATTTTTCATTACTTTTTCCAATTTAATTGATAGGCAGATTACTTTTTTTAGATTTGTTATTGTTTATTGCTTACATGTTTAGAGCAAAACAGATTAAAAAACTAAACATTCTCCTTCTGTCTGCGAAAGCGCATTGTTCATTGTAGAAAAAAATTAAACATAAGCATCTTATGTAGGTTTCATTCGAAGGCATTTCCAATTTCAACCTTCCATGTAGAACAAGTGATTATGTTTGTTTTTTTTTTTTTATTTTTTGCGTATGTTTATGATAACAACGGAATTTACCAAAGTTATTCTATCAATCGAATAGTGGTCAGTGTGCATTAAAACGTTGTTGGACTCACAAGACTCAATTTCCAAAAAAAAAAAAAAATAATAATAAAATAATTTTCCAAACCAAGAAAATTAAAAAAGAAAAACCCCTAACATGGTCAATAAGACACTACAAAAATGGATGACTAACGAAGTGGAACGTTTATCGACTAAAATCAAACATTATATGCCAGGATGTTCGGGTTATAATCGTATACAGTCTGCGGGTGTTTCGAAAACTGTGCGATATACGGCCAATGCACCATATCAAATTGATATACTTAATGTTGGAGGAGGAGGAGCCGTTAGTGGCGGGAGAATTATTACGAATAAGAAAGCGACGCATCGACGACAACCAAATGTTCACATTTTGGATTACCCGTTGTCGAACTGGGATAATTTGTATCCCAGTAGGTCGCCTAAAATGTATGCAGTCGTCCGAGTTAAACGTGCCAATAATTATCGCAATGAATGGGGACAAAAGGTAGCCTATACCAGCAAACATTTGGGATCAGCAAGACTTGTTTAATGAAAATATATGATAATATATTAAAAACAAAAGATGATAATATTTAAAAAAAATATATAGATATATTTATATATTTTTTGTTAAAACTAAATAAGAAATGTATCCTATTTTTTAGATTAAAATAAAATAATAAACATAACATAATAACAGATAGTTTTGGCGATTCCATTTATGGCAATGAATTCCTATATATTCCTGGGAGAATCGATGCACAAAAATTTTCTGCGAAAAGGAGAACCCAAAATATCCAAATATGGCGAGAATCTTCAAAGAACTAAAATTGGTTATTACTTCATTGCAACTTCAATCAACTCTAAAGAAAAATTAATAAAAACATTTAGATGAATGATCCTTCGCCCTAAAATGGCATAAAAATCTCAAAAATTCAGCTTGAGCCCGGCTGGGATTTTAACCCTGGTGCCCATGGCATCTGTTGATTGTTGTTCGGCGCCTTAGCGTTCTTTTGGAGAATTTTTCTCTCAAACACTACAAGATCTTCAGGCGTACATCTTCCAATTTGAGAAACCATGCTCCTAGATGTTGTCTTCTACTTGGTCTTTCCATTTAATTCTTGGCCTTCCCCTTCTGCGTGAACCATTAGTAGGCTCGCTTTTATACTCCTCTTGAGCTGGGGCATCCTCATCCATTCACACAACATGGCCTAACCATCGTAGTCGCTGCAACTCGATACGACTGACTATGTCGATGTTCATGTAGATATGGTAAAGCTCGTGGTTCAATCCGCGCCTGTATTCACCGTCAACACAGATCGGTCCATAGATCTTTAGGAGAATTTTTCTCTCAAACACTCTAAGAGCTGTCTCATCTGCTTGCACAAATACCCATGCTTCAGATTCATATAACAGCATGGATAGTAGTTTTCTTGTTTCTAAACTGCTTACTTAGACTATAGAAGCATCTGTTTGGCCAACACTATCCTTCTCCGAATTTCAAAACTGATGTCATTAGTTTTATTTATGGCGGTACCGAGATATATAAAATCTTTGACTACCTCGAAGCTATAGTTTTCAAGTTCCACAGTTGGTCCGAGTCTACTGGACGTCTTACGCGTTGATACCAAAAGCTTGGCAATCTCGCCATTTATTGTCAGACCCACTTTGGCAGACTCCTTCTCGATTTGCTCAATGGTGGCTGTTACCGCTCACAATGTTCGACCCATTATATCGATGACATCGGCGCAGGCTGGTAGCATATCCTGTTAGGTGCACAGAGTGTAATTTTTGTTCACATTTGCATCTCTTATGTAATCTTCCATCAGGATATTAAAAAGATCACACGTCAAACTCCTTGTCTGAATCCTCATTCGGTATTAAAGAGCTCCGAGAGGTCCTTTCCGACTTTAACTGCTGACCTTATGCAAGTTAAGGTTATCAAACATTACCGCATTAATTTTGCAGGAATGTCGAACGTAGACATAGCTTTAAACACCTCTGAACGGATAGGGCTGTCGAATGTGACCTTATAGTCGACGAAAAGGTCGAGAAGGAGGCTAAGGAAAAGGAAGTCGACGAAAAGGAGGCTAATTCCTCTATAGTTGGCACATATCGTCTCATTTTTTGAGCACGGTACACATGATGCTGAGGTTCCAATCATTGGGCATAAATTCCTCTAGCCAAATTGTACTAATCAGCTGGCGAAAATTGCGTCAGTTCTGTACAACATGCGCACATTCCGAGTGCAGATTCGAATATTGTGGTACTTTATACGTTTGCTGGGGTCGTCAAAATTGGGGAGGGTTTGGTTTTGTTCGTTGTTTTTTCATAGTAGACCGAGTGTGGACAACTAACACATTTTATGGGTGAACTCGCGGCACATATCAGCTTACTATTTCAACGGATGATGAAATAAACTAACCCAGGTGACACCGCAGGGAGGTCAGTGTCCACAATTGAGATGAAAGAAGGATCAAGATATGCCTGGACTTTGCCATGTTAAAGCAATCAGAGCCGTTGCTTGGTATTTATCATCACCTACGCTAGTCCTCTATACAGACCAATTGCTATAAAAATCAGTGGTCTGCATACGGACCTGTGGTATCTGTCATATTCGGAATGTATTTTTTATTTACCATTAACCTTAATTGTGTATTTTGTATAAACAGTTTTAAATCAATTTCTTTGTTGATTTCCGTTCATCCTGCAGCAAACAATCTACATCATCCTGTTCAAAATAGGCATAAATTAAACGTAGATTATTTGTAAAACCAGCACCATCTTTCCAAGGTGATACAATTAGAACTGTATCTCCCGTCTTTACAATCTGCATGAGTTTGGCGACATTCAAGGCGAATTGTATGCGGGCATCTATAGCCTCCAACCAATTGTCAGCAAGTTTATCTAGATGATGAAAAAATGTTTTTAATAAACAAATATTTATTCGAAGTCTGTCGAAAAAATCTGCTTACCTGTATAAAGCATTGGAACAATACCACGATAAAGAAAACATTGACGAAATGCACGGGAACATCTGGTTACGGCCAATATCGGACATTTGGGATGATATTTTGCCACTGAATGTGCCGACCGGCCGGAAGTTGTTAAAACAATAATTGCCGAAGCCATAGTTTTATTGGCAGCATTTACGGCCGATATGGCAAGCGTATTAACGGGATCCAATGTCAAGGGGATATCCCGCAATTGATTCCCATGAAATGCAATTAATTCAAATTCACGAATTATACCATCCATAGTGGCAACAGATTCTACAGGATATCTTCCTATGGCTGTTTCTGCAGAAAGCATAACACAATCGGCACCATCTAATATCGAATTTCCTAAATCGGCCACTTCGGAGCGTGTGGGTGTCGTTTTTTGACACATTGATGTAAGCAATTGGGATGCAATTATAATGGGCTTACCCAAACGATTACAACGTTCGGCAATGGCTTTTTGAGCTAGAAATATTTTTGCTGCTGGAATTTCTATTGACAAATCAGCACGATCAAAAAGTATGCCATCAGCGGTGCAGAGAATTTCATTAATATTTTCTAGACCCTGCTGAGAATCGATTTTTGCTATTAACTTCAATTCTTTACCCTTCGTACCCAACACTGAACGAATTTCCCGCAAGGCCTCTGCATTTCGTGTTGATGAAGCAAAAATCATATCGAAATTATTTTTCACAGCAAATTTCAAATCATTTTGATCTTTTTCCGATACAGCTGGCAGGTCCACATTGATGCCGGGTAAATTTATTTTCTTGCGTGAACCCAACATGCCTCCACGTCGTATTTGACAAAGAACACAATCCACACCCAATTCTTTTACCACCAATTCCAAGGCTCCATCATTTATATATATCAAATTTCCGGGCTGCAGGACATCAATGATCCGTTCATAATCCACATAAATAAAATCACGATTGCCCTTGGCCATTAAATCACGATTAATCGAGAGGCGAAAATTATCATTGCTCCTTAATTCGATTTCAGCATTAGGGCCTGCTTCCAATAGGCCTGTTCTTATCTCGGGTCCTTTTGTATCCAAGGCTAAGGCCACTTGGATGGTACGTCCCAATTCGAGGGAACATTTTTCCGAGGCCTCCCGCAGCAATTCTATTGATCTCTCATGGAACGTTTGCGTATCATGAGAGAAATTTAAACGTGCAATATTCATGCCAGCCAAAATCATTTGCTGTAATATTTTCGGATTTTGCGATGATTTTGAAATTGAAGCAATAATGTTGGTGCGACGATATTGCAATGCCGGTTCAGTGAAGATTAGACGACAATTTGGTTGATGGGGATTATTGATAGACATTTTTTTAAATTTTTGTTCTTCTTAACACAGAGAATTTTTAAAATGTTTTATTGAAATTTAAAGAAAGTATAAATATGACTACGGGTGACGTAAGGGATGATAGATACCAAGCAACGGCTCCGATTGGCTATAGCATGACAAAGCCCAAGCTTATCTTCGCCCTCTTTCATTTCAATTGTTGACACTGACCTCGCCGCGGTGTCATCTCTGGTAGCCACTTTCAACACTCATGGAAAAAGTGAGCTGATATGTGCTATGAGTTCACCCATAAGAACTATAGAAAAAAAAATTGGTTTGAGGCGTCGGGTTAGTGCCCACTCTCGGATAAAAACTACTACTATGAAAAAGAAACAAAAAAACCTAATGTTCCCTACTGTTGTGCGCACGTTGTACAGAATAGGCCCAGTTTTCGCTTTGGTGGACGTACTCAAAAAGATCAAAGCCGATATTATTGCCTTATAGGAAATG